TTTGGTTGAGAAACCTTATAACATGCTTGGCTCTTGAAAAGCTCACATATATAATAAGGAAAAAATCCTCTGAATTTTGTGACATCTGGGAGGTGTTTTTGAACTTTGTAAAAAACGGAGATATTGAAGAAGCTTCGGAAGTCTGAAGTTGTGGGATGTTAATTGGTGCTTGATTTTATTTTTATTTATTTATTTATTATATTTTTATGTGTATATGTATATGTGTAATTTATTATTTTATTTTTTTGCATTTTTTAATTATTTATTTATTTTTATATTTTTTTCCCTAAGCCTGTCTAGGGTAAGTTTTGGGTTCAATACTCAATAAAGACATGTTATACAAAAGTAATAGTTTGAATGCACTGCTTTTACATGTAATAAAACAGTAGTTTTCAAAATGTAGAAAATATTTACGTTACATGTACATTATTACATTACAAAAGAGATAAAATAAAATTTGACTTATTCACTGTCTCAACTAGGACAAACATTGTTATTAATGATGTAATTATTTTATTGATGGCAGCCTGAATCTGACAGATAGAGGCAACAAAAGTAAAGGAAGCTAACAAAGGAAAGTCATACAGAAAACTGTCCCCAGAGGCAGTACTGGACAAGACCAAAGAAACTTAAATGAGCACCATGAAGATGTGATTAACAGAAAACATCTGCTGGGTTTCTTTAAAATCCAGTTTGGTGTATTTTGTGGCCAAACATTCAGGTGGGTGGCTGAAAATGCGAGCTGGAACCGAGGAATCATCAGGGTGAAAAGAGAGGTATAGCTGGGTATCATCAGCATAGCAGTGGTAGGAAAATCCATGTTTCTGGATGACTGGTCTTAAAGATGTTGTGTAGATGGAGAAGAGAAGTGGCCCAAGAACAGAGCCTTGAGATACCCCACTGTTTAGATGCTGTAGGTTGGACACCTCTCCCCTCCAAGACACCCTGAATGACCTGTCAGAGAGGTAAGATCTGAACCATTGTATAACAGTGCCCGCAACGCCCAGTGACTCGAGCGTAGATACCAGGATCTGGTGGTTTACAGTGTCAAAAGCAGCTGACAAATCCAGCAAGATGAGGACTGATGATTTAGAGTCTGCTTTAGCCAGTCTGAGATCCTCCACGACCGAGAGCAGGGCAGTCTCAGTTGAATGGCCTTTCTTAAAGCCAGATTGCCAGCTTAACTAGACTAAAAGCTTACCTCTTGGAAATGTAGCAAGCTAAGCTAAAAACTCCTTGGCAAAAGTAGTGTAGCTACATCCAAGTTATTTTTACAATATTCATATTTAAATCGAAGCAACTTAAATCCAAGTCAATCATATCTTAGTGATCAATAAAACTGTCAATGAAAAATGATTCAGTTCAGTTATTTACTGTAAATATTATGTTGTACCAAACAGAAACAAATTATGTTATATTACAGCAAAAACTAAAAATCCAATAAAACCAGGTGTTACACAAATAAAATACCATAGTTATTTATAGTAAAGGGAAATACTCTGCAATAAGCATTATATTGTATATATTTTTACAACTTTTCATTAATGAATTACACCCTAATCTAATCTCTCTCAGTCATCTTTTATTCAAGCAAGTTTCTCGTGTCAGCCCAATGATTGTTTGGCTACATCACCAACCAGAGCAAGAGGTGGCAGTAACGCATCAAAAACTTTGTTATCGACCACCGTAAAACAGGAAGAAGAAAATGTCATTCTTCTAATGTAGAAACTTCTTTGTTATTGATCGGTAAAGCTGTTTCAGTAACCGAAGAGGCCTCCGGTGCACAGAACTGCACAATAGGTGGTTGGCGCTGACAAGCAGTAATACACACGTTGTGTTTGGCAACCCCCCATATGGGAGTCCAGGGCCGTAACATCCACTGTCTCTAACGTTAGCTTAAAAGATTTCCGGCATCAACAGCAGTAGGCGTTGCGGTCATTTCCTGGCACAGGCTTAACCCAAACTCAATTCGGATTCCTTGGCCACAGCGACACTTTCCCATTTTAGCCGACAAACTGGGCTAGTGACTATCTTGTTCTGTACCTCACCTCAAGTAACCATATGACGGGTGCGCACACTTTCGCGATTTCTGCTATAACGTGGAGGTAGAGGTGCACTCAACGTTACGCTGCATTAATTTTAAAATAGCCTACATTTGTAACAGTTCATTTTGTTACGGTATGAACTTAATCCTAGGAAAGGCAAAAAAAATGCATAAAATTAAGACCTTTGTAACAAAATTCAAGACGTTGTATACCAAATTCAAGGCTATAAGGCCTTAATTTGAGATTATCAAATTTAAGACTTTTTCAATGCTTTTAAGACCCCACGGGTACTCTGGACATGGACCTTCAGCATGCAGTGGGACAGTTTGCTGCTGAGTGTGATATGGCAGAGAAAGAAACAGCACCTCTAAGTCAGAAACCATAATGCTTGTATGGAAAACAGTGGCCACCTCCAGTTTGGCAGAGAGTCCTTACCCCAAATAGAGAGTCTGATTTTTTTTTGCCATGAGGAATGTAATATGAGATTAAAAGATGGATCAGTGCAGCGGTAATAATAATAATAATTCCTTACATTTATATAGCGCTTTTCTGGGCACTCAAAGCGCTTTACACAATGGGGGGGTTCTCCTCCACCACTTCACCAGTGTGTAGCATCCACCTGGATGACACGACGGCAGCCATTTTGCGCCAGCCAACACATGATGAAGCCAATTGAATATGGCCATGATGGACAGAGACCCCTACTCTTTTTTTTACATTTTTAACAACCACACGTTAACATCTTAAGACGGTGCTCACTGAGCAGTATAGCGTCCCCATCACTCAAACACACAGACCAAAGGTTGGGCACCCCCTGCTGGCCTCACTAACACTACTTCCGGCAGCAACCTAGCTTTCCCATGTGGTCTCCCATTCAGGTACTGACCGGGCACAGCCCTGTTTAGCTTCAGTGGGCGGCCATGTGAGAGTTGCAGAGAGCTAGCTGCCGGCTGGTAATGGAGTTAATGTGATTGTCTGTTGTGGTGAAGGAGCTGAGACGAAAGGTAATCTAAGTACCTACTGTCACCCATGGTCATGACTGAAAGGACAAGATCTCGGATACAACCGGACACATTTTACAAAGTGTTTTGACCCGCTTGTTTGAGTCGCAGCACAAAAGAGAGATGAGCCAACAAAATAACCTGAATTCAAATTATTTATTATAAAATGTAACTCATAGAACAATCAATCAATGCAACCAACAAATGTTTAGGGATACTAATGAAGATAAAGAACTTAGGATATAATCACAACAACACTTTAACTACATGATATAAGTAACGCAAAACAAAACCATAAGGTTAAAGAATCAATGAGATGGGAGGTCTTGACATGAGGACTCCTGAGTAGCCACAGGTCCTGGGGTAGCTAGCACAACAACTTTTATATACCCATTGATGAGCAATGCAGGCATCCAATCACGATTTACCATATACTCCAACCTGGATTTCTCATTCAGGGAATCAGACAGATAACATCATCCAACACAACACTAGCTACATGAACACACTGGAGAGTGGATAACAGATGAGATTTCAAGCTGCAGAGGTGCTGTTATCCAGATGTTTATGAAACTGTTCTTCTCTCAGCCGCCATCATTGTGTTTACATAAATGCAAGGAGCGCAACACATTTACAACCCCATCTACTGCAGTGTAGGATTGTTGGAAAACAGTATACCTATTATACTGTTATTTATAGCCTGTTCAAACATTATTCAGACATGAAACATCCTGTGCACATGAGATAATGTTTTGCTGCATTCATGTCATGTGTGCAACTTTTTGTCCATGTGTTTCTTAAGCTGTGCCGAATGAGCGAAACTCTGTAGACACTGACCAGATCTGTACGGTCTCACTGAGTAGATGTGAATGGTTTCCCTCCAGTGTGGGTCTTCATGTGTTTAATAAAAGTCTGAGGAGCTGCTGAAACTCATCCCACATCGAAGCTGCGGTCACATTAGAATTTGAGCATGCGAAATTCTGTTGAACAGCGCTGTGAAAAGGAGCTGGATTAAACAAGATGATCAGACATTTAAAAAGCAAACGATTGGTCTATATTTTACTAACTGTCCAGAGAGATCATGTTTTGATCTTCGATAGGTCTCACACAGTCAAGTTATGCAATTTTGCAGGTCAGAATTCATCGAGCTTGAACTCTGCAAGGCAATGAACTGCAAGACTTGAGGCACGAACTTGCATTTCCGGTCTGACGCATTCACGTGCGTATGAATGGAAGTCTATGGCAAGAAAAGTCCAGTGTGACCGCAGCTTAAGTGCAAGTGAATGGTTTCTCTCCAGTGTGGATCCTCATGTGATAATTAGGGATTTTGATTGGCTGAAATTCTTCCCACACTGAGGGCATGTGAATGGTTTCTCTCCAGTGTGGATCCTCATGTGTCGACTAAGGGAGAATAAGCAGTAAAAACTCTTCCTACACTGAGTGCATGTGAATGGTTTCTCTTCATGTGTTGATTAAGGTGTGATGAGCGGGTAAAACTCTTTCCACACAGAGTGCATGTGAATGGTCTCTCTCCAGTGTGGATCCTCATGTGGTAATTAAGGGATGTTGATAGGCTGAAACTCTTCCCACACTGAGTGCATTGGAATGGTTTCTCTCCAGTGTGGATCCTCATGTGGTGATTAAGGGATGATGATTGGCTGAAACTCTTCCCACACTGAGTGCATGTTAATGGTTTCTCTCCAGTGTGGATCATCATGTGTTGATTAAGGTGTGATGAGCAGGTAAAACTCTTCCCACAATGAGTGCATGCGAATGATTTCTCTTCATTGTGGATCCTCATGTGTTGATTAAGGTATGATGAGCGGGTAAAACTCTTTCCACACTGAGTGCATGTGAATGGTCTCTCTTCAGTGTGGATCCTCATGTGGTAATTAAGGGATGTTGATAGGCTGAAACTCTTCCCACACTGAGTGCATGTGAATGGTTTCTCTCCAGTGTGGATCCTCATGTGTTGATTAAGGGAGAATGAGCGGTAAAAACTCTTCCTACACTGAGTGCATTGGAATGGTTTCTCTCCAGTGTGAATTCTCATGTGTTGATTAAGGGATGATGATTGGCTGAAACTCTTCCCACACTGAGTGCAAGTGAATGGTTTCTCTCCAGTGTGGATCATCATGTGTTGATTAAGGTGTGATAAGCAGGTAAAACTCTTCCCACACTGAGTGCATGCAAATGGTTTCTCTCCAGTGTGGATCCTCATGTGTCGATTAAGGGAGAATGAGCAGTAAAAACTCTTCCTACACTGAGTGCATGTGAATGGTTTCTCTCCAGTGTGGATCATCATGTGTTGATTAAAGTGTGATGATTGGCTAAAACTCTTCCCACACTGAGTGCATGTGAATGGTTTCTCTCCAGTGTGGATGATCATGTGAATCTTAAGTTTGCTTTTGTTTGCCAAACTCTTTCCACACTGAGTACAGGTGAAACGATTCTTTTTTCTCCTTTTCAAAAAATGATTTTTTTCCTCAATTTTGACATGATGTTCCTCCTCTTTACTCCCCTTATTATCTTCAATGCGATCTGAAAGAAATAAATAAAACATTAGTTTTCATTAAGTCTTAAAAACTCTCATCAAAAGCTCAAAAGTGAAAAGACACAGGAAACATTGGCTACACACACTGTAATTTTAATGCACATTAAATGTAAAATAAATCAGATCATATGTTGTTTGGTCCATTAATGTGTACACATTTAAGCAGATACAATTCAATTCATCTTTATTTATCTAGAGCATTTACAACATAAATTGTGTCAAAGCCACTTAACATTAAAGTTATAGTAAATTGAAACAGTTTCAGTCCAGTTTTCAGTTTCTTACATAATGAATCATAAAAGTTATTTTGATCATATTGATAAGACAGATTTAAAAGCTGTAAACGGCCTATTTTTATTTGTATTGTAACAGTGGTGGTTTTGGATAAATAAGTTTTGTTTAAGTCTTTCAAAGAAAGAAAAAAAACACAAAACAAATGAACTTTCAAAAACTGCTCCCAGCGGGATTAGAAGTTGGGCCGTCAGCATAGTAGTTGACTGCTTTATCGCTAGTCCATGTAAGAAGTGAAATCCGTGGCTTTTTCAGACCCTTTCATCCTACTCCCAGTGGACCTCGAACAAAAAAGTATAGGTTATTTATAACCTATGGGCGCCAAACAAGTTTATCTTGTCAAGGATAGCCACAGCAAGCATTAATTTCCACCATTTCATAATCAAAAATAAAAATAAAATAAATTAAAGATTTTCTTTAAATAAGAACTCACACACACATGTACATTGACTCAACAGTAATATATTTAACAATAAAAAATACAACATCACTGCGGAATCACTCCATTTGTAAAGGTTTCTAAACAAAATCAACCATCCTTGTACAACAAACAATAAAAGAAACAAACTAAAATCAAAACGGTTCAAAAATAAATTATAGCTAGTGTAAAGGGTGAATGAGGGAATGAGTAATGAACAAAAAGCCTGTTTTATGGGGTTGCAACGTGTGTAAAGATTTTCAGTGTGGGTGTATGAATGAATACAATGAACTGACCCGGGCTATTAGCATCAATTGATACTGGTCCACCCCTTGATAAGTTTCATTTTGGGAGGCTCCTTCCTACCAGACTGACTTTTTTGTTGGCTTCAGGAAAGGATTCAGCTTCCCACTTACTCCACCGAGGATCCAGGAGACTGCTTGCACAAAATGACCACTGTAAAGTTTGCCGGGCACTCTGCGTCCATTCTTGCTACACGCCACAGTCTTTTTTTTCTTCACACGCCAAAAACCAACAGCTCTTCAACCTCGCACATTTCCTTTCTCCATTCTCTGCCACAACAAACACACAAACCCAAAAGAAACAAAATTCTTCTTCTCACTTTTCCATTTCCTCCCTCTTTAATCTTCTTTTCCCTACCTGAACTTCCGTTTTCTTCAACTTGACCCTGGAAGTTTTTGGAAGGGCAGGTTTGACTAGCTTCCCCTATTGGAGCTTAGAATAAAAAATTTGGGGGAGGCATAGTCTTGCCACACTCTCCCCCTTGAAAAAAAAAAAAACAACAACAACCCCTGGTATTTAATAAAAGGGATGTCAGAAACCAAGAAACTCCTCTTAATCTAGTGGTTAGAGCAAAATGGTCTTAAGTTTATCTTTCTCCTGATTCTCCAGTTCTTCAGCTGTTGGAAAGCAAGGCTTAAGATTACAAACATTTACGGTTCAAACATCCTCTCCAGTGTTTTCCAGTGCAACACGATAGTTCAGAGGTCCTAACTGTTGAATTGTCCTGTAGGGTCCTTTCCATTTTTTTGCAAGCTTTGCACTGAAATTATGCAATAAACTTGACTGAGGAAAGCTTACCCTGACACTGTCTTTTTCTTTATAGGATGCCTCTCATCCTGTTTTATTGTAACTGCGGTGTTGTCTTGCCATAGCTTTTTTTCTGAACTCACTTGCTTTCATTTTCATATTTGACAGTTGTTCTGCAACGTCGTAGGCCGGAGAATCGGTATAAATTGTGTCCATGCAGTAACTTATCTACAGGACCTTGGAGTTTCCTCCCGAGTAGAAGCTCTGCTAGAGTCATGCCGATGGTTTCTTGGACTGCAGAATTTATGGCAAAGCGAAGTTCTGGTAAGTATTGGTCCCATTTTTATGGTTATCTTCCACATACGCAGAAATCATTTGTTTTAGGGTTCTGTTCAGTCGTTTTGTGAGATTGGTCTGGGGGTGGTAGGCTATTTGATTTTTGTCATTTTCTGTTTGATTTTCCATTTTTAAACTTCAGAGAAAACTGCTGATGTGAACTGTGTGCCTCGGTCAGATAGAATGGAATCTGGTACTCCCCAACAAGTAAGTATTTCTTCTCTGAAGAATTTGGCTTCTGTCTGGGCAGTGGCCTCTCGCATGGGAAATAATTCCAGTGTTTCCTCTAGGATTGCACAGTAGAATCTCTGTCTGCTAGGTTCTGAAATATCTTGATTATATCTGGGTCTTTGTGTTGCTCTTCCCAGATTTCTGCAATGGAGATGGGTCAAAGTACGGTCACTTGAAAGGTGCAGAAGGGCATCCAGCTGGTTTGATGACAGACTCACTGTGCTTTTGATGAAGGGTTTACGAACCAAGTCGTAGTGGTTCCAATTATGCTGCTCAGAAAAATACCTATTGAAATGTGCAGACAGAGATTGCAGATGGAGAGTGATTTCCGTTTTAGTAGTATCCCAGTTAAACACATTTTCTGTGATAAATTCATCCAAGGTCAGGAACATGTTTAGATTTAGTAGGTTTGAACACGGCCTTGAAGGGACAAATTAAGCGAATTAAGCGTATCAAATATGTCAGACAGGTATGTAAGATCTGTGAGCTACTTAGCGTCAGTAAAATAACTCCTAAAGGAAGATCCACAATCAATCCTCAGTTCGTAATGCAATGAAAAAATACGCTGCAGGACTTTGCCTGTGGAGAGCCATCTAACCTCCTTGTGCAAAAGCAACGACTCATATTTGGACCCCATTTCTATGCACAACAAGGCAAACAGTCTTGATTTAGTGGGACAAGTCTTTATGAAATTCACAATCTGTATTGCTGTTTGAAGCACTGCGTTCAAGTCCACAGGAAGTGTTTTTGCTGCGAGGACCTCTCTGCGAATCATACAGTGGGTGAAACAAACATGCGGAGCTACTTTATGAACCAAAGCAGCGAGTCCTTTATTTTTTCCTAACATGGATCCCACTCCATCAGTGTACACACCGACACAATTGTCCCAACAAAGACCAAGTTCATTCAGTTGACCGCTGAGTTTTTCTATAATATCTTTTCCTGTAAACGTCTTTTCATTGATGAGCAAAATAGTAGATCCACAAGCAATTTTCTCATGACTGTAGCGGACGAATACAAGTAGTTAAGATGAGTTTGATATGTCTGTCGACTCAACTATTTTGTAATAAAAAAGAAATCCCATTCTTTATTCTTTTAATCAGCTGACGTTTGACGTCGCATGCCATATCAGTTATACGCCGGCTTATGGTGTTGTCTGGTAGTGGAATTTGTTCAATGTAACTTGCATACTTCTCTCTAAACAGTTTTACAGATGGCCTTTGCAGCTGGAGATATGAGGCTCTCTGGAAATGTATGTGGCTATATGGCCTTGGCAACTAAATGTGCCACCTCATTTGAAGCAGTAAGCGATTTTACTTGCAGCGTGGTTTGACAGGTCATCGTTTGTTTTTGTCCTCTTAATGCTGATTCTTTACATCGAAAAAAGTCGACTGGCTTATCTTTTAACATCGGATGTTTCTTCAAGGCGAAGATCTTTGAAGTGTTGGGTGACTGAGGGTGAGTATGATGTCTTCATCAATATACACAAAACACATTTTTCCCAGCAACTCTGCTAGGACAGACTCCATTAATTGCTGGAATGTTGCTGGGGCATTTTAAAGTTTTTAAATCCAAAAGTCTTGGATTCACTTCCAGGCTCCATAGTTACCTGCCAGTACCAACTGTTGAGATCAATGGTGGAGAAGATGACAGCACCAGAGAGGGATTCCAGTATCTCTGTGATGTTAGGTAAGGGGTAGGCATCTCTTTCTGTGATAGCGTTCACTTTACGATAGTCCACACACATCCTCATACTGCTATCTTTTTTGGGGACAAGGACAATGCGTGAGGCCCACGCTATTTGTGTAGGTTCTGTGAGGCCATTCATTAGCATTTCTTTGACTTGCTCTTTCACAATCTCTTGCTTCTCTGGTTTTAAACGGTATGGACGTTGTCTGATCAGCACAGGGTAGTCAGTATACAAGCAGTGCTGTAGAACAGTTGTTCTTCCAAGCTGGGAGGTACATACTTGTGGATTCTGCAGAAGTAGATGATGTAACTGGCAATTTTCTTCTGGATGCAGGTGAGATTGATCAACTGATGCTTTTATTATTGTCTTGTCATCCCTATTATCTGGTAACTGGAATAGACTTTGTGGTGGGGGATTTGAGGTGAACAACAAAAGAGCTTGGCTTGAGTTTTTTCTGTGCACTTTTTTTCTTCTGGTGCAGGTATGTTTTTTTCTGGAATGCTGGCCTGCCCAGGCTGAAAAGGATACACTTGGTTTCGGGTTGATGTGCAGGTTTAATTTTCACCAGCCACATTGATCTGTAGCCCACTGGTAAATATATGATCCAATCCTAGGATCACTAAATAAGTGAGAGCTGTGGAAGTGAGGATAGCAAATGGAATAGGAAAAAAACATATTGTAAAGAATGACATTTGTTTTTGCCCATCCTAAAGGTATGGCGGTCTCACCATTAGCAAAGTAGAGGAGACCATGGGGCCATTGATGAAGAACATCAAGGGAAGCAAGTGCTGACCTCAAATGTTGGTGAAGTAGGGTATAGCTGGCTCCAGTGTCGATTATGGCTTTTCCAGACCAAGCTCCAAGGGTGCTTGATACAATTAGCTGTTGTGGTATGAACTCATGGGTAGGAGGATGACTTGGTTTTGCTGTAATTGTGGAGTTGGAGTTGTAACAGAGATGCTGTTGTGAGAAGGTGCAGGCCTTTGATGCTGTGTGGGTATATTTTATCTCCTTCAGCAGTGGTTCTCAATATACCAATATAAAATATACCAGGATTTCGAAGCGATGATTTGACTGACATTAAAAGTGACCAATCACAGTCAACCTTGTCTAGTTTTGCGTTGAACGTAAGGGCGGGACAAAGGCCTTTCTATGTTCCAGTGACAGAAAACAACAACTTAAAAACAAATGCATTATTGAAATAATGCTTTTTGGGTGTTTTTACTATAGAGATGTCTATGTTATTCACAAGAGTAATTAAGCCGCAGACATCCTGCCATTTTGCATTCTCTCCGACGGATTTTACTCGCCTCTAACCTATCACTCTTCTGAAGCCTAGTTTAATACAATCTGAGAGCATACTCACACTATGTACAGTTGCTTTGAACTAGGCCAAAGCACGCTTGTCCTCCATTCAGGCCAGGGCACGCTTACAATATCGATGATGCACTGTTCAGTAGAGAAGTGCTCTCGCTCAGCACAGTGGAGACTTCTCTAGTTATGTTGTTTTAGTCGTTTGGGATGCAGTGTCACACAATCAAATATTTTGCCGAACAGATCCGCCAATTTTGACGCTCATAAACAGTCATAAAGTCCTCGTGCTGCAGGAATTAGGAGGTTTGCAAAAGGCACAGCTGTGGTGCATTGAGGAGTTTGCGTCTTTAATAAACTACAACAGTTTGCATTCATTGAACGGTAAGAATGATTAATAAATGGGTAACACTTTACAATAAGGTTCATTAGTTAATGCATTTACTAACATGAACTCATCATGAACAACACATGTAGAGCATTTATTAATCATAATTGAACATTTACTAATGCATTTCTAACATCCAAGTCTATGCTTGTTAACATTAGTTAATGCACCATGAGTTAACATGAACTAACAATGAACAACTGTATTTTCATTAACTAACGTTAACTAACATGAATAAATACAGTAGTAGATGTATTGTTCATTGTTTGTTCATGTTAAATGCATTAATTAACATTAACTAATAAACCTTATTGTAAAGTGTGACCAATAAATGCATATGAAATAGTCCCTTAAAAGAAACGTCTTGCTTTCAGTTTCTGGCTTAGGCGCGTTTTGCACTCACACACAAGCGTACCGCGCCAAAGCCCAAGTGAATTGTGCCTGAGCCCGATTCAGCGCACTCACACTTCTCAAACGATCAGGCAAACAGGCCTGGGCACGGTTTGGATAGCATAGTGTGAGTAGGCTCTAAGAGTGTCGGCGCGAGCTGCAGGTAATGCGCAATTATTAATTTCTGCAAATGTCACAAGTGCTTTATTTTAACACGAGAGTGCAGTCATGTAGTTAATCGCCAAAACTGGATATCCGAGCCCTTAAATAGGCTTTTTCAAATGAACTGCAAGTCCTCTCATGATCTCATCATCGCATGTGTGTGCTCAGACTATATACAATTGTGATCTCTCAGAAGTAAAACTTATTTATCTTGCTCCTCGACTAAACTTACTCAAAAACTTTCAAGTATTTAGAATTAGATTGATGCATGACAGGTGACAATGCTAACGCACTTACTTGGCTGTATTGTGACGTGAAACTTAGCCTACCAAAACTTTTAGCAAAGGTGGAACTTTTTATTTCTTTACGGCAAAAGAATTATGCTAGAAATGTTTCTGGATGAGGTATTTATGTGATTTATACATAATAGGGGTATTCTGATCTGTCTTAAAGCATCAACAATTTGTACAAACAATATTATAGCACTGCCTTGAGAAATGTAGTGTTGTCAGAAACCAAGTAATTTGTTTTATTTTATTTTATTACTGACAATGTTCTTGTCTTTTTTGTAAAACTATTTCAGTTTAGGATCAATAAAATATCGTTTAGACAACAAGCAAATAAGAAAAACAGTGTAAAACATGTAAATAAAACCCCAAGTTTAAATCTTTTCATCATATACTTTAAACATTTAAAAGCCTGAAAGTATTGTTTAAAAATTGACAAAAAGTGTCTCTATGGCCTTAAAAGTATGTGGTAGTTTTGCCAGTGCTATTGAAAATGATTCATTGTCATGTACAGAAAAAATAGACCATACTTTGTTAATGCAAATACCTATATGTAGCCTTGTGATTTAAACAATTAAACAATTTAAATAATTGTATAATTAAAAAAGGGCCATAATGAAAAACATATTTTTTTTCAAAAGTAATTAACTAGTACTCAAAGTAGTTTTTTAAAGAGTAATTTGTAAAATATTAGTATCATTTACTAAAACTCGTATTATTTTAGCAGTGTATTATAACTTGAGTACAAATATTCTGTTCTCTTTTCATCTGAGATAACATCAACAAATAAACAAAAAAATGCACAAGCACAATTAGTAAAGATGTATTATATTATTAATAAATGATTAATTAATTGTTATATTATTATTAAATGGTTTTCATTTGTATAAATCAATAGACAGTTCATATGCAGTATTTTTATGAATTGCTGAAAAAACAATGCAGGTGTTCAACACATTGCATGTCAGTCTTGGCTTATTATATTAACGCTGTTTTTAGGATCTAAAAATGTATTCTTTAAAAAGCAAAAAGATTCCAATGGCGACACCTGCTGGTACGTGAAGAATATGGTCAATACTGACGAACTTTACACTCAAATCTCTGCATATCATCAGCATGCTGTAATCCGTTTCTTAAGCAGCAAAAGTCTTTTTTAGACTAGTTTGTTGGCCAGTTGTAGTCAGTGCAATGCTAAACGTTATTGTTTCACTTTAATTAGTTTTGTCTCACATCGTCCCACAACAACATCATATAGTTTAGAATACTGTACAATGTTTTATAACAATTATTTTTGTGTCTATTTCATTCAGCATATTTAAAATTAAGGGGATCCACGTTTTTTTGACATACTTTAAATCAGGGTTTCTACAGGTGTCACCAAGTTAAATGTAAGACTTTTTAAGACCATTATGAATGAAATTTTAGACTAAGGAATTTTTTAATTGCCGCAGATGAAAAAGATTTTTATATGTCCAAACAAAAATATTTTAATGTAAAATATTTAATAATACAATAGTAAATCAATAATAATAATAATAACATTAAAATATTTTTTTATATTTCTTAGCAAAAGATCATAAATATTGTGTAAAAACAAGAGAGCTCTACTTGGATCCACACACTTTTTTCCCCAAAATAAACTTTCTTTAAAATAAAAAAACAAAATAACAAATGTTTTAAAAGTTTTAAAAACTATATTAAACTAAATCTATGCACAACAATCTGTCCAGGTCGATATCCTCACCATTATGATAAACAGAGTTAAAATGTCTTGTTGGTGATTGTATGGGTTTTGGCCAGATTGGGTAACAAAACATGAACAAAGGAAAATGAAGACTTGTTTAAAAAGATTTAAGACCTATAGCACAATATTTCAGTAAATTTAAGTTTTTGTAAGGCCTAAATTTTTGATTTTGGAATTTAAGACATTTTAATACCCAGCGGAAACCCTGTTTAAACACAATAGCCCTGGTAATTAGTTATTATAATAATGTAGGTCAAACTAAGATAATATCTGTGAGAACTAGTAACAACTACAAAAACAAGTTTAAACCCATAAAGAAGTTGATAAAAAAGGGAATTGTGATCAACGTGACACATGCAAATGGAAAATACTAAGCCAACACTACCACTGTAATAGCAGATCTCTTCTATGAGAATACTGTAGGTCAAATATTCTCAGCTCAGTTAAACTTTTTTATTTTTTTGTTTTTATTTATTTTATATAGCGCCAGTGCTCAAGGACGCTTTACAAACAAAGAGAACAAGAAAAGCAATAACCTTAAGAAGGTAGTGAAAATAGGAGACGAATAATACATAACAAGTATGACATAAATAAGAACAAGTGATGAAACTCATTCTGTCTTTCAATGAGTGCTTATGTGCGTTTAGGAGAACTAGGCAGCACACTCAAGGCTGCAAGATGAATTAAATTAGTATTCTTATTATTAAAATATATCTGAATGAGGATCAAATGACTGAGTTGGTCTTTAAAAATGTAAACCAACCTGTTTGTTCCTGCAGATCTTCCTGTTTGACTGTGAATGTTTCTTCAATCTTCACATCTTCACTCTCCTCTTTAATAAACGCCATCTTTATAACAGTGTGGAGATCAGTCACTTCAGCAGGAGTTTTTCTCTGTGTTTGGACACTTTATCCTGTTTAAAATAAAAAAACATATTAAAAAACGTCCTGATTAAAATAAATAAAACAATGAACAGAAACAAAATGACTTCTCTTCAATACTTGCTTTAACAGTTTCATATGAGAGTCATTACCAAAAATAAATCAGGTAAGTCTGAGCAAGACACAATGAGTTTATTAAAACTAGTACTCCATTTCTTATATATAGTGATTTATCCTTAGAATGGAATGACATTATGCTTTTTAATAAATTAAACCTTAATTAAAACACCTATTACTCACATTTTTGTTGCTTTATTCAAACAATAGCCCAAATTACTGTGAGTAAATTGTACTTCGTTGTAAAAAGGGTCAAAATAATGTCAACAGCAGGTTCCTAATTTAGCATCGGATGAAAACCCTGAAACTTTATTCAATCGCTTTATATTTATGTAAAGGTTTTAAAAACAAACCTTTCTCCAGCTGAATCAAGCGCAAGAGCGGCGCAGCCTAATGACGTCACACGCCACGCCAAAATAAAAGTCTTTTGTTTTTAGTTTTTTGCCACTTACTGTTGCAGTCATGACTTGTTCAAACATTTCTCTCCCTAGTTTTCTACTTTACACTTGGTCTCTCTCTCTCTCTCTCTCTCTTTCTCAAACACACACACACAATCACACAGATGTTCAGTATTTGAAGTTGATCAAAACCTTTAATCTAAACATTTTAAAACAACTTCAAAAAAGTGCCTTTGAGACATCAAAAAAATAATAATAATAAAGTTTAAGATTTTTTTAATTTAACCACATAGTTGTATTATTTAGACATTAGACTGTAAGAAATGAATGTTGGTCAAGCTCCTGCACTTTTTACAATTAATCTACTAACAGAAAAACAGCAAACAAACCTCAAATTGTGTCAACACTGTCAAGGACAAATTCAAAGTATATCTTCATTTCAGTGTGATTAATAAATGTGTATTTTCAGAAAGGTAATGTGTCCCTTTACAAACCCAACTTTATAGATTATAAAAAAAAAATATTCGTAATAATGAAATATTGGACAAAACATTGATTTCCAGATAAAATATGCAATCGTTGCACATTATTTTTTAAATAAAAATCCAAGATTTAAAATATTTAGTCAAACTTTCAAACAGAAAATAAAACTGATAAAAAGTTCAACACACTTGAATATATGCATATATAATATAATTTATAATATATGCATTTTAACGAACAGAGATTTTCAAAATGTTTTATAATTTTTTTTTCAAGGTATGGATATATTTTTAAAATATGTTATGAGCAAACAAAATTAACTGAGAACATTCTAAGATTAGATTTACAATGAATGGTTCTGCCTTTATGATGGTAAAATTTACCCAGATGACAAACAATAAGAAAATATGTCCATGAATACTGTCTTTAGAATACTGTCTTTAGAATAAAAATATATATTTTTATAAACTTTTTTTATACTAAAACTACTATTACTTTTATACTAAAACCGCTGTGTTGTTTACATTAAATGACTTACTGTAACGTTCGCTTTCAGAACGTATTTTGTATAAGTGTGTGCGTTTGTTTGTATGTGGGTGTGTCGTTTTATGCATTTGTTACAGGTACGAACGGCATTGGAGGATCCGCATTTTGTGCTGATGACGTTGGCCGCTGACGCTGGGTTTGCGCCACCAATCGCTGGTTCACGTAGCGTTTAAAAGCCGAGCCCAAACTGCAATGGCAATCTCTCTCTCTCTCTTTCTCTTTCCTTCTCGATCTTATTCTTTCTGTGGGTCTCTATGAGGACAGTCTCTCTTGCGAGGGCTAGTCTGAGAATGTGTTTTGCTTGTTTAATGCTCTTGTCTAAAGTTTGAGATTTGATAATGCAATGTGTTTGCTTGTGAACTTGTCCAGTTAAATGACGTGTTTGAGTGATGCCTCGGAGAGGTGTAGGAGTGAGTTATACATATAAAGTCGCGCGATATACATATACAACACTCAGATGCATATTTTGTATTAGTTCACTAGGTTCAGGAGAATGTGCTGTTGTCTGTATGTTTTGTTTTTAGTTAGAGCAGTTTAGTTAAGACGTTTGGTACGTTGAAGATGTTTTTTTCATGCTTTTCTTTTCATATTTAGTTTAGTTTGGTGAAAACAGTTACTGAGTTTTGTTATATTTTTTTCTTTGATTTAAGCACATTCAACTACTTCCCCTCCCCCAGGTAATTCATCATTTAATCATTGTAAATATTTTTCTTTCACTGTATAATATATTTTCAGTGGTTTCATTGGATGTATGGGCAATAAATAATTGCGGTGATATTTGGTTTTCAGTTGATTTCTTTCTCCATCTGCTTGTCACACACATTAAACTATTTTATGTTATGTCATCTACTCCTAGTTTAACATTAACATCTAAAAGGACGTAACTATATATATATATATATATATATATATATATATATATATATATATATATATATATATATATATATATATATATATTTGCAAAAAGGACAACTCGGTTTGTAACAATTTTTAAAATTCATGTTTTTTCATTGTTTTCCAAATAATCTTAATGCAGTTGGGTTGTTTTGATTGCGTAAAAATAAGTACATAAAGCAAAGCTAATAAACAATAAAACATAATAAAAACAACATAATAAAATGTTTTTTGAAAAAAAATAAATAAATAAAAAAAAATGGTTAAGAGAAAAAAACACCACTAACAAATGCATTGACTAGCGTCATTGGTCACTGTTTAAGGATATTGCTCATAAGATATAACTTTCCTCAGCATTCAAACAAATTTTGTTCATTTGTAAATAGTTCTAACTGAGGTTTCATAATTAGTAATGGACACCTGGCCACAACTTTTAAAATGTCAGCTTAAGTATTGAATCCGTGGCTGAAGGAAGTTCTATGAAAAATAGTGGCTTTAAAGACACCCCATTGTTGTTTTACCCATTTATGCCGTCAAACTGTTGCATAAATGTAATAGCTTTTCAATGTGGCTACATAAAACAATTCTGTAACAGATGTGCTAATATATCAAATGGCTTCTCATGAGATAATGCTTAGAAATGACACATTTGGAACAATGGACCTAAATTACCTTTCAAATTGCAGGAAAGAATCTTCTGCCAGTCAGGACCATCAGAAATCTCACAGGAATGTATCTCCTTCATTAATAAAGTTAAAAACTCTCTTGTGGAACCACCCTCATCTGCTGCCCCCTCTCCAATACCATCAGCATCTCTGAATACAACATCCAGTTTTTTCTGGGTCAAACGACTGGCGCCGAAAAGCACGAATTGCACTTCCCAGGATGTTGTCCGGTGTGATAATAATTTGATTTGATGGTGGTGATGAAGTAAAATCCACCCAGTTCTGCATGTTGTGCAGTAATGAATCGAGATCAACACTGAAAAAAGAAAATACAACATGTCTGTTTTTCTTTCTACATGTGGATTTAAAAATGTCAACAATGTAAGTTCATTTAAAATATAATCCTTCTCCACTCACTCTGGTTTAGAGACTACTGCAGCTGATGGGGATGACACTGGAGAGGACAGAGGGGACGCCACTGGAGAAGGCCGAGGCAATGCCACTGGAGAGGACAGAGGGGATGCCACTGGAGAATGCAGACGTGATGGCTCTGATGTGGTTGAAGGAACAATCTGTATTAGTGAAGTTGCAGTGTTGGTTTAAAAAAACTACAATGTATCTTTAACAATTAAATGGTTAATTCACCCCAAAAATTTTAATTCTGTATTTTATTAAATTACTCGCCCTTATGTCATTCAACATTTATAAGACATTTTGTTCATCTTCAAACACAAATAAAGATATTTCTGATGAAATGTAAAAGCTTTCTGACCTCTGATAGAACATAATTGCCACATTCAAGGCCCAAAAAGAAATGTTTAGAATAGTCTATTTGACTCCACCGTAATGTTATGAAGCAACAGGAATACTTTTTGTGTGTAATAAAACAACACAAACTAAAAATAACATCTTAATTAAACAATTTCTTCTTTTTCATGTTGGTCTCTTACACAGTTGATTTAGACACAACGTTGTGACATACAACCCAGAAGCGCTGCACAGTGTTCACTACGTCAACTGCGTAGAAAACTGATATGGAAGAGAAGAAATAGTTTAATTAATGTATTCATTTGTATACACAAAATGTATTTTTGTTTCTTTGTAACATTGGTAACATAAGGTGGATTCACTGTGGTCAAATAGAGTACTTTAACAATGTCTTATTTTCTGGACCTTAAATGTTTTAATTGGTAGGCTGTCAGGGACAGATCACTTTCGGATTTCAGTAAAAACTTATTTGTGTTCTGAAAATGAACATGACTAATGAACATCATAACTTTAGGTACCTTAAAAGTCAACAGATAATCTCAAGATTAAATGCTGCGAAAGTAATGTTCATTGTTTTTAAAAGATAGTGTACTATTGTCAGGGCCGGAGCAAGCTGAACTGCCGCTCTAGTCAAAGGACGGTCACGCCGCCCTCGAACCTAAAGTGAAACCGGGGGGGTATTTTTTCTATTCTGCCGCCCTAGACGCTATAACTGAGGCGCGGTTGGCGAGTGTAGTTTAGGGGACGCCACCCTCTCTATTAACTGCTACCCTAGACGCGGATATAATTGTGGCCGTGGGTGGCGAGGATAGTTTCAGGGACGCCGCTCTATCTATTCTGCCACCCTAGAGGCGGATGAGGGCTCAGGTGGCGAGGGTAGTTTCGGGGACGCCGCCCTCTCTATTCTGCCGCCCTAGGCGGCCGCCTAGGTCGCCTCTATGGAAGGCCCTGATTATTGTACAGTGCTACAAAAGTACTTGGTTTTAACCATTTAATTTGCTTTTAAAATGCATTCAAAACAACCAAAAGTTGACAGTCAGATACATTAATGATTTTCACCTCCATGTGCAACCACTGAACATGTATATTTAATGGAGTCAATATGTTGTGGTCGAGAAGTGTCCCAGAGGCAGTCCTCATTATTGACATCGCTAATGTCATTTCTCGGATGATAAAAAACTCTGTTGAGTCATTACGTGAACCAACAAATTCAAAGAGGACCTGAAAACCAAAAAACATTTATCTCAAACCAGTCATAAAAAGTTAATTTCACAGGTATTATATGCAATAAAAGTAATTCTATATCAATAAACAGAACTTAAATGCTGCCTAACACCTTTTAGGCAAAAAATACTTTAGTTACTGGATTGATAAATAATATTTCTCTGTAAGTATGGAGTTACATTGCTATTTTTAAGAAACCAAAAACACAACTTTGTTATTAGACGCTAAACAGACACAGATACACATCTGCCATTATTCAAATAAATTCTATAATTAATTTATTCAATACATGTAATGTAACACACTTTATCTGTGTCTAATTCAAAGCAGGCAAAATGCTAGACACATGTCCTGTAACTGATGAAAATAACCGTCAATTTTAGACTGAAATAATTTCACTGACTTGTCTCAATTATAAAACTGAGACGATATTACCAATATTATTTATTACTGCTACTGACTGTAGTATTATTTTTATGATTAGTATTATTGTTGTTGCTGTTGGTTTTAAAAATTATTGATGTCTATTACTTATCTACATGTTTTCCAGAATACCAGGAAAAATAATATTAATGTGAATGTAATAATAATATTACTATTACAATTCATAGACCAATAGCTTTAATTGACCAATTATGAAAAACTATATCTATTGCTTTAACTAAAGTTTTATTTTTATGTTTGTTAGTCGATTTGAAATTAACACATTGCTTGTGTTTATGTGAACAATTACTCCATGCAAGTTAATCCAGTGAAAAACAAAATGTTTGTTTTAGTAATTTTTTATCAAAATCTGAACATTTGCTTCCGCTCCAAATATAGATTTGTACTGGTTTCTTGTTTTGTATTCATTATGTGAAGTTGTTGCAGTTTATCAGTTTTGTAATAAAAAAAAATGTCTCACACTCAATTATTGCCCTGCTATCAATAACGACTTTAAAATTGTCAGTGCTGCATGTAAAATGACCATAAGTACTGTGAAAATGTCCTTGCTCTATTACCTTAAATAAATATTTCACAGGATGGCCCTCAATTGTAGTTCATGCTGCAGCAGCCACCGATATCTGTAGTAGGATCAAAAGATTACTTGTTAATTAATTACATTAATTTCTGCTGCTTTTCAACACTATTCAAATTATTGGCTTTTGCATTTAAAAGAATAAATAAACTCAAATATCTTTGGAACAAGTGGAGCGTGAGTAAAAAATAAGAGACTTTAAAATTTTAGGTCAGCTATTCCTTTAAGCTATGTACTATTTTTAACAAAATATATTCACTAACACTCACCTGGCAAATCAAAGGCAATCTTCCCGATTGCATCAGCAATGACCACAGATGGGTGGTGTCCACAGCGTTACAGAAATAACTGTACGTATACTGCCTGAGAGCACTGAAGTGATAGAATGCTTTTCTCAAAGTGTTGTGTGGCACTGTAGTCCCAGAATGAGATTCTATAGTGCGCAGCATTCTACCAACAGCAATGTGATTCTGCAAAAAAAAAAAAAAAAAATACAGAATGTACCTTTAAACATGTTGTTTATATGTTATGTTGTAAGTAGAGAACAAAGCGGGATGGAAAGAAAGGCCCTGTTGTTATAATTGTGGAATCCAGAATTGTAGTTCTGAAAACGAACTACATTTCTGCAAACTGAGCATGCCTTGGCATAAACGGAAATACCTAAAAGAAAACGCATCAACACAAATTGGTTGGCATACAAAAAATACATAGAGATTATACACAGTATATATAAGAGATATATTTAATTAATAACATAGAACCCCTTGCCTCTATTCTTCCAAAACATCCCATAAACAGTTGCTTGTGTTGTAACCACAAAAGCATTGCTAAAAATTGTCCCGTTAAAAAACAGTAAAATACTGGCAGCTGCAGTTGCCAGCAATGTACTGTTATTTTACAGTATGTTGCTGTAAAAATACATGGACTACATTGATTTACACAATACTCAAGTGAACTCATTTTGCTCACTGAAAGCAACTGTCTCAAATTGGTCAACTGCTGAATGAGTTTATGAAATAATGTGCTATATATGCTTAGAAGTATACTTATAATGATAACTTATTTTAGTTAATTAGAAAAGTTTGGTTTAACTCTAATGTCTTATTTTTCACAACAGCACACATACATGTAAATCTGGAATCACCAGAGAGATTCTGACTGCATCAGCAACTAAACAGCCGCTATCTTTAAATAGAGAAACATGCAGAACACCATCAGCAGTTCATTGTTCATCTTTAACTCATACACTGGCTCTACTCTCCTCCACAACGGTGACACACAGAAGACATTAGCTTCAGGTTTTACAGTAAAATACTGTTTTTTCCTTGATTTAACAGTAATCTACTGGCAGCTGTGGTTGCCAGCAATCTACTGTTTTTTTACAGTCTATTTCCGTAGTGTAAATTAACAGTATATTACTGTTAAAATACATTTTACACTGTGTTTTTACCTCTCACACCTTTAACCCTTTAAACCCCAGAGCATATACTTCAGTTTTTATTGAAGTGTCCACACTACTGAGTGTTCAAGAAACATGGAGCAAAGCTGAAGTAAATTCATTAATTAACTGACTAATTAAATGATAATTGAGGATTAACAATGAACAAATGAAGAAATACTGAAGGAAAAAACAAGAACAGAACATACAAAACTTTAGTCACAGCTTTATAATGAAATAACCTGAAGAACAACAAATAAATAAATCATTTAAATGATCAGCGGATGATTAAACAACTCTACAAACATCATCACCAGCTACACTTATTACTTAATACATGTATTTTTGTATAACATTTACTAAAGTTCTTCTTGAGAAAAAGTTAAAGTTTTACGTCACCATCATGGAGAACAGAGTTTGCTTTAGTTGGGCTCTTAGCCCTGTCATTTTTAACATTTATATATCTTGGCTGCTGCAATTGTTAAGAACTTTGTTTAAAAAGCTCCTTTGTTGTGGCAAGCCAGCCAAAAACCTAAATAAGATCTGGTGATGCTCATGTTGCTATTAAATGGCAGAGTCTGTTCTCATTTAGTATAATAAAATTTACTGCTCCTATTCAATGTTAAATCTATTGTTTTACATTATATGTCTATATATGGCAATGATTTCTGGAAGTTTTTAAGAATATCTTGGACAATAACACTGCTCTATGGTGTAACTTGCACTCAAACAGACATCAATAATCAGCATATGAACCTCAATAGTGGTGACAACTAACATAATTAATAGTTTAACTCACAAAGGGGCAACTGGAAGTCTAAACATAAACAACAGCAGAATAAAACACAAATAAAGAAAACTGTGAGACCATTATACAACATTTATTTATACCGCAGTGCATGCTGGGATATTTGTACCGTGCCACTCCCAGCATGCATTGCAGCATAAAACATTTGAGATGTTACCATTGTTGAGATACAAGGTCAGATTCATGAGGTCTGAGTGTGTGTATTTGTCATAACTGAACTGTTTTTGTATGTAATTTCTTAACTGTTAAGTAATTACGGAGATATCTTTTCTGTTTCCACTTCTCATTAATTAAATTAATACCTGCAACTAAGCATAAAATCTATTGCATGAGGCCCTTCTTCCAGATTTATATCAAAACATTTATCAGATCTAATTTCAGGCAAATAGATTTCTCTATTTATTGACTTTCCAACTTGATTGCAATAATACAAGCATTTTGTTAACTCTTTATTATAGTAATTGGAGAGTCTGAATTAATAAGTTCAAGGGTGAAGAGCCCAACTAAACCAGCCCCTCACTCCATTACGGTGACACAAAAAACACCTTAATTTCTGTTGGATCTCAATGAGAATAGTATGGAAGTCCAAGCAGTCAGTAATAAGTGTGTGTCTGCTGTTGTTTGTGGAGTTGTTTAATGATCCTCTGCTGAGACTGAAGCTGTTTTATTTTACTTAATTTTATTTAACGTTGCAACTCAAGTCACTGTTTGCGTTTCTTGTTTCTTTCCTTCAGTAATTGTTATTAATAACAGCAGGTGTTCATCAGTGTCTGAATTCACTCTTTAGTGTTCATTAACTCTGTCAGGTGAACTATATTGGTGAACTAGTTGATGGAATAGTGAACAAGGACACAAAGTGTGATTTTAAACACAGACTTCAAAAAACGTTAAATCTGAATTCTGTTCCTCACAGTTTTCTGCAGTTGGTTACTTTCTCGAAAACAAAAATGTTACACAGAAAGCACTGTATTTAACAGAATATTACTGTTTCAGTGAAAAAACATTATTTTACCGTAGAATCTGACCGTTTTTTAACAGCAATTTTTTACAGTGTAAGATGGGGAGGACATGACCCTGGGCAGTATGGACAGGTTGTTTCTGATGGTATAAAGGTTTCTGGAATGGGTTTTTCTGTTTTGGTAATTTCAAGTGAATGTCTTCCGGTAATCTTTTGCAATTCCACAAGTAATTGGTCATTGTGATCACACTACTCTGTGAAAAGGCCAAATGCTCATCCATACCGACATTCCCAATGATGCACTCCTCAATATCTTCTATATCCTCTGGGGCTTCTGGTGCATTTTTCAACAAATAAGGATGCTCCTAATAAATCCACCACATACACATGTATATGTGGACACAACTGATACTGTCCTTTAAACCGATGCACTTGGAGTGCCATTTTCCCAATTGTTTGTCAAATGTGGAAACTGTCCTTCCAAACTTAAACCAGGTGTCCTTCTCCCCAGCGTACACTGAGAACAATAGATATCTCTCTGACAGATTGTGTTCCCCCAAGAAAATAGGAAGCACACTGTCTACTTCGTGTGAGCAAGCATGTTGGTAAAGTTCCAAACATTCCTCTTGCCTAGACTTAGAAAGGAGTCCCTTTTTTAACCATCTCCTTTACGGTTTTCTTTTGTAGTGCTGGTGGTGGAATGTATGCACTGGTTTTCTTGGTCCGCTCTAAGTGGTGGCATTCTTTCCCTGGGTTTCCACTTTGAGCAGCTATGGCCATATAGTCTCTGCATTCCTCCACTTCACAATCTTAGAGCTGTGATGTTAATGTCTTTTGGACATGTATTGGCAATCTGATACCATGGGATTGCTTTGTGGTCACATAAATCCCATTTTTTGGGTCAATGCAAAACATTTGTTCTTGCCCAGCATGTTGCTCCTTTTTATGCCGTAATAGGTTTGAGTTTGTGCTAAATGTGATACCACATATAAGGCAAATTTTGTTTGCTTTTGGGATGTCTTTATCTTCAGGTTGTTTCTTTTCTAAGAATAATAATACATGTCATAGTGTGATTAACATAATTATAATGTGTTATTGTGTCATTACTTCAGTTGGGTTAGAAACATAAATGTACTCACCAGATGTTGTTGTTGGCACCATCAGACCTGTAGTTGCAGAGAAAGGGAATTATACAGTTGAAAAATGCATTTTCACTCATTACGCTTAAAGGATTTAGAATATTTACAATAGCCTACCATGTTTACGCAAGTGTGTTTTAAAATCTACAGATCTGCTTATTATTTTGGCACATTTAGGACAATGCCAGTGACTCCTTGTGCCAAGTTTCCGATCTGGACAGTGGCATGGTATAGTAAATTTGTCTTTGAACACAGGATGTTTTGAATATCAAATTAGTCAAAAGACTTCACCTCAACACTTAAATTAAAACTTGGCAAAAGTCAAAAAATGACTTACCACTTAAAATGTCTTGATAAAACCCTGGTAACTTTTCCATCATTCAGGTTTTTTTATTTTTAAACCAAAGAATATCTTCTCTTAAGTTAAAATTGCCAACTTTTTAAAAAAAAAAGTATTTTATGACCTTTTTCCATTCTGTTGAGTTCTCCTCTTGTAAAAGCTTTTTAACCATTTTGACTCTAAGAAAATTCTTCATTTGTTTAAATTCAATCAATCCTATCCCTCCTTCTTCTGCTGCTCCTATTATTGTATTGTATGCAATTCTTAGGGGTTTCCCCTCCCATAAAAAAATCTTAAACACACTTTATCAATCTCCCTTCTATCCAACATGGCATTTCTGTTATATATAATTTATACCATAGCTTTGATGTCATTAAAACATTTAATATTAAGGCTTTCCCCTTTAAGCAAAGTTCTCTTATCCTCCAGAAATTTATTCTTGATTCTATTCCTCTTATTAGATCATACCACATCTTTTCTGTTGCTTTTCTTTCATTTTTACCAATTAAAATTCCTAAAATTTTATTTCTTCTACTTCTCTAAATTGGAAACAATCTGTTAAAATATCTGCTTTACCAAACCTCATATATTGTGTTTTATTTTAATTTATTTTGCTTCCTGTCCCCTTACAAAACTCTTGTACTTTTTTCATGGCTTCTTTTACACTCTTTTTCTCCTTCACTATTATTGTTGTATCATCAGCATACTGGTATATTTTTCCTTCATCCTCCTCTTCTTCTATTTTTATTCCTTTAATTTTAGTTTCTTGTTTTATTGCTAACCCTAAAGGTTCTGCGACTAGGGAATATAATAGCGCTGAAAGAGGACATCCTTGTCTAATTGATCTTGTAATTTTAAAACATTTTTTTTAATTCTGTTAAAAAAGTTACATTTTACTTTTGTTAAAGCCCCTTTGTAGAGGCTAAGCCTATTGCTTGAAGTCTCTGAGATGTTGTTAGACAGGCACCCAGCTGACGCACACTGTCCTCTGGCTGATGTGGTGTAAATGAAATGAACAGTCTTACTTGTTTCCGAAGATGTTTACGTTTATTGCAGTTGCAAACTCCAATAGTTCACAAATTTCCTTTCAGGTAAGTTTCCGTTCGTAGAAGTCAAACACTGCCACATATCTTGACTTACAAACAAAACAAACCGTCATGCTAAAGCATGAATGAATGTATGCGGCTCTCTGTGTGAATGCGCGTGAGCGTTTGTTTGTGTTTGTGGGTGTGTGTGTGAAAGTTTGTGCGTTTGAAAGTGTGTGTGTGGTCAAAACTGTATGTGCTCCCTTCCGTCTAGCAACGGCATGCACTAAATTCCAGGGGTTTCATTACCACGACGTAAAATGGGCGTGGCTCGGTCGGTGTTTGGGAAACGCCCCCTTAAAAAAAACAATACTGAGAGGTCACCGATCATGCGCAGTACAGGTTCTTTTTTAGCGCGGTCATTTCAAACAGGATGATTATGGATAAAGATCCTACCGCGGTGGATAACGAGGGAAAAAACAATCATACAGGTTATTTTTTGTTTTTATAATGCTATATTTTAAAGATTTCATTAGCAAAAACGGCTGACCTCGTTTTACTCCGTTTTACTGTCTCTGGGCTTTTGTACTTCCATTTTAAACCAAATAATAATAGTTGTGGTAAGATTAACCGTGTTTTTGTAGTTTAAAATATGGTATTCAGTCATGTTTAAACAAATAAATACCACATTTTCTGTATTAAATCGTGGTTAATTTTTCTTTCTCGATCTTAGTTAATTAACATAACTCATATTTATTTTCTATTTTTCATTTAAAGTCATCATACACAAAACCCCTGGGATCAGGACAGGTATCTGATGTCAACTAATATAAAAGTGATCATACATGAAACCCCTGGGATCAGGACAGGTATCTGATGTTAATGTATATAAAAGTGATCATACATGAAACCCCTGGGATCAGGACAGGTATCTGATGTTAATGTATATAAAAGTAATCATACATGAAACACCTGGGATCAGGACAGGTATCTGATGTTAATATATATAAAAGTGATCATACATGAAACACCTGGGATCAGGACAGGTATCTGATGTTAATGTATATAAAAGTGATCATACATGAAACCCCTGGGATCAGGACAGGTATCTGATGTTAATGTATATAAAAGTGATCATACATGAAACCCCTGGGATCAGGACAGGTATCTGATGTTAATGTATATAAAAGTGGTCATACATGAAACACCTGGGATCAGGACAGGTATCTGATGTTAATGTATATAAAAGTGATCATACATGAAACCCCTGGGATCAGGACAGGTATCTGATGTTAATGTATATAAAAGTGGTCATACATGAAACACCTGGGATCAGGACAGGTATCTGATGTTAATGTATATGATATATAAAGTATTTGGCACAAAAGCCCTGGGATCGGGACAGGTATCTTAAGTTATAACAGTATTAATGTAATCTGAGAGGTATCTTAAGTTAATGTGTTTAATATAACATACACCGACTTCACATGAAACACCTGCGATCAGAACAGCTATTTAGTACTGCATATAAAAGGCATTGGACACGAAACCCCTGCGATTATGTACAGGTATCTGAATCAAACGGCTGTTTTCACAATCTGCGCATGATCCGTGACCTATGCAAATTCACAGATAGGCCACGCCCACCCGATGACGCAGTAGCGGTTACGCTGTACTGAAACCCCTGGAAAAAAGTGCCTGCCGTCTAGCAACACCTGTTACCTGAATGTTCGTTCCCACTTATAAAGCCTGTTTAAAGAGCACCACCTAGTGGAACAATGAGCAAAGTTGCCAAATGGCTCCTACACCCTTTATATAAAATGTTTATCCAATTAATAAAATTCTCTCCAAATCCAAATGTTTTGAGTACATCAAATAAATAAGTATGTTCTACTAAGTATTCCTTTTAAAATATCTTTAAAAACAATATAAAATTCATTTCCTATTCCATCTATACCTGGACTTTTCATTTTATGTAGTTGATTTATTGCAATTTCAATCTCTTCTTCTTCTATTTCTCTGTCACATTCTTTATTTTCATCTTTTTCTAGTTTTACTTTTATATAATTTAGAATCTTCCCTTCTTTTTCTTTAATACCTTTTGCTTTATTTGATATTTTGTGTTTTCCCACCATATCCTTTTATCATCATCATACATTCTATTTTCTTTTTCTTTCTCTATTATTTCTTAGATTTTTAAACATAATCTTCATTTTTTTAAATGGTTGTGTTTAAAATCCAAGTCCCTGGTCCTTTTTGTATGTTTTCTATATTCACTTTAAAATGCAAGAGCTTATGATCACTAAAACTGTTCTCTTCATACTGTATGTTTTCTATAAAATTTTCAAAATTTCTAGTACATAAAATAAAATCTATTCTCGTTTGACATATAAAATTCCCCACAAACTATCTTTTTTCTCTATTCCTCTCCCTCCATATATCTACTAAATTATTTTCCTTCCTATATTTCCATTTAGTTCCTTTCTTCCTATATCCGATTTAAAAACCTTTCCATCAGCCATATCTTGTTGTCTAAAAACAGTATTAAAATCTCCCATCATTGTTATTTCTTTAAACCCTTTAATACTTCATTTAAAACCTCAAAAGACTCTTTTTTTTGTCTTGATCTTCTGTTGGTGCATGTATATTTGCTATTAGTAATTCATTTCTTTTATAGTTCACCTCTATCACTAAACATTTCCCATAATTATCTCCATACACAATTCTTTTAAAGTTTAAAATATCTTTCCTTATTAAAAAAGTGACACCTCTTCCGGATTTACCATCACCATTATTATATATAATATCCCCTTGCCACAACTTTTTAAAATCGTCCATTGCATGTTCTTTCCAGTTTGTTTCCCGTACACCTATCACTTCCTTGTGTTTACATTTCTCTCTTATTTTCTCAAATTTATATTTTCCCATCAGTCCCCTTAATTGCATTAAAAGACACACAATTTAAAACGCTTAAAATAAATAAAAATAAAATTAAAAACCTACACATCTTTACTGTCCATCATCTCCTTCCAACGCTCTCAACCAACAACCCCTTCCGTTAAAAGAAATCAAAGGTTAAAAGCATTTTAAAATAAATCAAATATTTTAAAACATCATTTTCTTCATCTTCTTTCAGTCCCCTTAACACTTCATACCTATTTACATATTTAGCTCTGTTCTTTGTTCAAACTTTTTTCTTTGCCATGTCCAAATTTGGTTTTACCTTAAAAGTTCTTCTTCTTAAAAATCCTCTTTCCACTTTGTTCTTATCCACATTTTCCATCCTTGTTTCTTCATCCTTTGCCATTCCTTCAGCTTGACCAGTCTTATTTAGTTCCTCTTTTTCCACAGTGCTTAAAAAAGTTTTAAAACTGTCCAATATGTCTATTTGTGACCACTGTTCATCTTGTCCTGATAACTGTACTTCATTCTCTTCATTTTCATTTTCTCCTTCCTTTTTTCATTGTTATTCATTTCCTCCTTCATTGTCTTTTCTTCTACTTCATTCACTGCTATCTTGTCCTGGGGTTCTTCGTAGGTGGATAACTCAGTTAGCAAGATTTGGTTAATGATGATTTGACACGATCCAGGATTATTTTGTTCTTCAAAACTCTTCTGAGAGTTGTTGTCATAGCTACAGTTCTGATAGCTCAAACCTGCTAGGGAGCAATTGCTTAGGTGTTGCTAGGCGGTTGCTAAGGTGTTGCTAAGTGGTTGCTAGGGTGGTACTAGGCGGTTGCTAATATGTTAATAGGTGGTTGCTAAGCTGTTGCTAGGCAGTTGCTAAGGTGATACTAGGCGGTTGCTAAGGTGTTAGATGGTTGCTGGGTGGTTGCTTGGCGGTTGCTAAGCTGTTGCTAAGGTATTGCTAGGCAGTTGCTAAAGTGTCGCTAGGCGGTTGCTAAGGCGTTGCTAGGCATTTGCTAAGGTGTTGCTGGGTGGTTGCCAAGGAGATGTTAGATGGTTGCTAAGGTGTTGCTAGGCAGTTGCTAAGGTGTTGCCAAGCGGTTGCTAGAGTGTTGCTATGAGGTTGCTAAGGTGTTGCTGGATGGTTGCTAAGGTGTTGCTAGGTGGTTGTTAGGTGGATGCTAAGCTGTTGTTAGATGATTGCTAAGGTGTTGCTAGGTGGTTGCAAAGTTTTTGCTAGCCAGTTGCTAAGGTGTTGCTAGGCAGTTGCTAAGGTGTTGATAGGCGGTTGCCAAGGCATTTGCCAAGGTGTTGCTAGGTGGTTGCTAGGTGTTGCTAGACAGTTGCTAAGGTGTTGCTAGGTGGTTGCTAAGGAGTTGTTAGGTGATTGCTAGGCGGTTGCTAAGGTGATGCCAAGCGGTTGCTATGGTGTTGCTAGGCGGTTGCTGAGGTGTTGCTGGGTGGTTGCTAAGGAATTGCTAGGTGGGTACGAAGGCGGTTGCTAAGCTGTTGCTAGGCGGTTGCTAAGGTGTTGATAGGCAGTTGCTAAGATGTTACTAGGTGGTTGCTAAGGTGTGGTTATGCGGTTTCTAAGGTGTTGCTAGGTGGTTGCTAAGGTGTTGCTAGGCGGTTGCTAAGGTGGTTATAGGTGGTTGCTAAGGTGTTGCTAGGTGGTAGCTAAAGTGTTGCTAGGCATTTTCAAGGTGTTTCTAGGCGGTTGCTAAGGCGTTGCAAGGTGGTTGCTACATGATTGCAAGGTGTTGATAAGCTTTCTCAGAAAATATGAAAAAAGTTTTTTTTAAGTAATTACAGAGATGGCAAAAGCATCTTGCTATATTAAAGTTATTACAAGACAGATGGGGGGAGGGTTTTGAGAAGAGGGAGGAGAAAGTAGAGTGGGGATAGCAGAGGTATAGGGGCAGGTACGTAGCTGGTGGATCTTTGTAGTCTTTTATCGGAGGAGGGGATTATGAAGGGACAGGAAGTGGTCATATGCAGATTTGAATGGCAGACCATGCAGGAAAGATTACAGCATTCTAGGAAAACTCTGTTGTGAAGATCAGTATCCATGGCCCCCCCAGTAGGGACACTGATTCCACTGAGTAACGCATATAACCGAATAATAATCGATGTCAGCACCTGATAGGATGAGGTTCTTGATGGTGTTGGAGGAGGGGGCCGTGCGGAAGAAATGTGAGTAGGGAGGGTGGACTGTTGGGAAGGGTTAGTAATGCAGGTGGGTGCTTGATGAAGAGGTGTAGAGGAGAAGAGGTGAGGATACTGAAAGAGGGGAAATAAGAAGGGAGAGGAAGGACTTGTAGAGAAAGACTGGGTAGAAATAAGCTGGCTTGAAGAGTGAGGGAGGTTAGAAGGGAGAGAGATTTACGGAAGGTTGAGAGTGGAATGGATGACTGGAAGAGT